TAGAATGCATACATGTTGGCTGCCGTCCTGTTGGAACGTTATGTCATCATAAACCAGCTCATGATCAGATAAAGTTGAATGGGAGGGGAGAGGTAGATGATGTCTGCATTGGTCAGAATACTCCAAAAGCAGCCTGGAGTATTTTGGTCCCAAAGCTAGCCTGATGTTCCCCCATTACCTGGGCATCCTGCTGTGCCACCCATCACCTCCACTACTGGTGCCTTGTTCTGAGCTCAGAGCAAGCAACTCTTGTCAGGGGCAGCTATGCCAGTTGGCACAGCGGGATGCATTCTAAACAGCCACCCAGTGTCACAACAGAGGGATCTGGAGATCATCTGGGAAGATCCAGAGCAAAAAGTAAGTTATTTTACTCCATTATAAGGGAGGTATACCCTGGGCCTGGTGCTGAATTGACTGTACATCATCTGGGCAGTTCACACCAGAACCAGTGTTTGGGCTGTGCATTCTTTGGATTTGTCACCACAGGAATAGAGGGAGGACATTTTATTTGGCCCATGCAGACAGGGCCACAGTTACACTATCAGGACTACTGCACAAAGTGGAGCATGCCTGTTGTGTAACATGTCCCAATGAGCAAGTTTCCCATTGCACAGTGGAAGCCCCTGTTGTGCAACAGGACATCTTGTGCTGTGCCCCCATTGTGCATCATTCCAATTCCCTGGCATAGTTATGTATTGTATAGCTCCCTCATCATAAAGTTATGCATCGTAGCTTCTGATGCTGGATCTTGGCCTTAGATTTCATTTGGGTTAATAAAAGAGAACAAGCTTTGATCTGTTCATTCTGTCTGTTTTTTTCAAAAAAAAATGATAGGCAGGTTTCAGGAGGCTCAATGGCATAGAAATGAGCAATTTCAGAATGGCACAAAAGTAGTGCAATCTTTTCACCTTTCAACTGAGCCAGGATGTAAAATAAACAGACTAGCCAAATAGGTCATGGCCAGCAGTTAAGTGTGTTCTTTCCCAGCAACAATAACTCTCTATGAGTGAGATGTTAAATTCTCCACATGCTCTCTTTGTTCAGTGAGTTGGGAAACATACAAAGATTTGGGCTGAGGTGAGGTCTGTTTTATAACTATAATTCACAGACACCAGTAGCACTCCCTTTCAATTTGCAGTCCCGCTAGAAAACTGATGCTGAGAAGTTTTTGTAGGGTTTACCCTTATTTAGGTTCCCCCCCCCCCCCACATAGTTTGCTACTGGAAGCCAAAGCCGGCTTTGGCTTCCAGTAGCAAACTATGTGAGGGAGGGGTGGGGGGAACCTAAACAAGGGTGAACCCTACAAAAACTTCCCAGCATCAGTTTTCTAGCAGGACTGCAAAGGCTAACAAGCAAGAGTCTCTTTGTACAGCAAGGAGGTTGCTTGTCTATCAATGTGAAGAAGGGAAAGGTAAAATGCTTCAGACATATATAAGAACATTGCTCAATTAATACTTGCAGGACAGTGCAAATAACAGTTAAAGATAAAGAACATAATAGTGTCAAGGGAAGGCCAAAATGTTATGCACCAAGGGAGAAAAGCAATTTCCAAAGCTGTCTGGCACAGAAAAAAAGCTGGTGAACTGGTGGCTCTTGGCTTGACCTAGCTCTCATACTAATCCTCCAAAGGGTGCAATTTCAGGTGTGCCTCACATTACTCAGGCTTGATGTCCTCTGGATGAGGTCAATGAAACTGAAGAACATTTAGTAACCTTTATGTTCTTTTATAATTATACTAGTAGAGCCAGCTTACCAACCCTGGGCCAACCTCTTGTGGTATTATATATATATATATATATATATATATATATATATATATTACTCATATAGACAATTTAATAACAGCTTTAACTGTGTTACATTATATCAACAGTGGTGCGCCTTAGGGTCATCATAAGTCAAAAATGACTTGGAGGCACACATCAACAACAACGAACACATATTGCATTCACAATATAGCTTTTATCCAACAGTTGACTAAGGGCCTAAGCAGATGGGCTGGATGGCCATCTGTTGGGGATGCTTTGATTGGGAGTTCCTGCATGGCAGGGGGTTGGACTGGATGGCCCTTGTGGTCTCTTCCAACTCTATGATTCTATGATTCTATGATTCTATGATTCTATATGGCACTGGGAGATGCTCTAACTGACCACACTGCCCCCCAGCAATCTGATGAATGTGACTCAAGAGCCACGTTACCAATCAGATGCAACAAGCAAATGGGTGACCAAATGAGCGAGCAAGGGGCCTTTGCTTAGTCCCTTTCATATTTCACAATTCTAGTGCTATGATTCCACTTGCAATTGCCATAGCTGCATCCTGTGGAATCCTGGGGTCTATAGTCTGGTAAGACCCAAGAAGAGCTCTCTGAATGAGAATTTGTAAATCCTACTCCCTAAACTACCAATCCCAGGATTCTATAGGGTGTTGCAATGGAGTTAGAGTCCATGGTAGCCAGATGTCTTCCTCTTTTAGGACATGTCCTACATTTCAACCTTCAGTCCAGGAGGAATTCCAAAATGTCCTCCATTTTGATCATGACTAAGAGGCCCATTAAGTAGCGCCATTTTGCTGTTCCCCTTCAAGAAGTTCATCTACTTGGCAGCCTGTCCACACTGCAAATAGGAAGATAGGATGGATTCTTCTAAAGCCCTTTTCCCCTAGTAACAGCAGCAGACAAGACTCACCCCCAGTGCTCAGGATGTGTTTGTCGCTTGGAGGAGAAAAGGACAGCAAATGTGTTAGGCAAAGGGCTTCTTGAGGATATAACGTAAACACTGAATGTGGTTCTTCCTTTAATTTCAGAACCATGGACAAATGAAAGGAATAATTAAAATGTAAATTCAGTCGAGGGTTGGTTGCTAGTAAATTACAATTTTAAGCATTTCTCTTTCTCAGAGTCCTGTAAGTATACTGCAGGCCAACAAGGCCTTTTAACAAATATGTTCACCTGAAAAATATGGTTGAGGACATAATAAAACACAGGACACTTGTCCCTTCACATTCACTGGGGTAGGGGCACAGGACCCTCATGAATATGGAAAAATCGCAAGTAACGAAAACACTATGTTTTTACCTGAGAGAACATCTCTCTAGGAATCTCTAGGTCCTCCAGCGCAATTCTATAGTCAGCATCTACCAGACATTGACCATCAAATTGTGATGGAGAAGCGACACATGCCTAGTGGTGTGTTCTCTCTAGGGAGTTTATCACACGGGAGAAATCCTGCGCGGAAACGGGGGTTTAAAGTAGAAAAAAACACGCAAAAGCGAATGTTTTTTCAGACAATGTCGCTGTTAAAAGGAGGTTAAACTGGGGTTAATCCTAACGGAAACCCCTCATTGACTGCTTCTTTTTACTTTCGGGTTTTTCTGAAAGTAAAAAGAAGCCATTTCCATTCGTATTAACGCCATTTTAACATCGCTTTCACTTTTCACACTGGGGAATCTCGTTAATAAATTGCTTCTGCTTTTGTGGGTTTTTTCTACTTAAAGCAGGGTTTCTGCATGGGACTCCCCATGTGATAAACTCCTAGGAATCTCTGGTCCTTCAGTGCAGCTTTTGGTTAAAGTTGACTATAGAGTTGTGCTGGAGAACCTAGATATGCCTAGAGAGAACATAGTAATAAAATCAATGAATAATCAAATCTACAAAAGTCAAAGCCACAAATATGGAGGGATGAATGTATGTGCAATATAGTTGTAAATAAACCATATGAAATGAATTTATATTTATATGAGTGTTTTTAGCTTTTATGTTATAACGGCCTACATTTTCTTGAATGTCATACATTTTCCTTGAATGTCCTATATTTTGCTTGATGGTTCTACATTTTGTGGTGCCTTGCCCTCTTTTGCTGTTATCACATCTGGTCAGCCTGGTTAGAGTGGAATCAGAGTGGTATAATTATATAGTGTGAAAGGGCCAGCAGGTACAATACAGAAACAGATAAACCCAAGATAGTTGTGATCCCCAAACTCTGGTCCTCCAGATGTTTTGGACTTCAGCTCCCAGAAGCCTCACCCATCTTGGCCAATGTTTTTGAATTCTGGGAGGAGAAGTCCAAATATTTGGAAAGCCAGAGTTTGGGAATCACTGGACTAAAACATACTTTTTCATCCAGGCTCCACCATTCATGGATCTGTAATGTTGTGATGTGTGAAAAATTGGAAGTGAGCTGTGGGTGTTATTGTGCTTCTTCTCTTATCCTCAAGCTGGCAAATTTGGTGTTCATACTTATCCCCTTCTCAGCTGTGGCAGTACCAGCTGTTGTGATTGTGATACCAAAAGGGAAGTGAGAGGAGAATGAGCCTCATACTAACCAGCTTCAGAAATGAAAGGGAAGAGGATGAACAAGAGGAGCTTATAGAATCCTACATCTGTTTCAGAATTTCTTCTGGATAATAGGCTTTGCCATTTTTGAATACAATTTTGAAATCTTGTTTTAACAGCAGAAAGGCTCTTTCTTCCTGTGATATGATAGTCCAGACTGACCAAGTGCCAAAGTTGCCATTGAAGTCCATCAACCATTAAAAGCAACAGATTTACTTCTTTTTACAGATAACAGGATATTCTCAGAGCAGATGGTATCTCTGTTTGCCAACTCAGTGAAACGTTGGCAGCTAAGCATTTTCTTAATAGCAACATCAGCATCAGTTCCAGAGGCAAGTCCTTTCAAACCCATGTTTGTTGGTTTCCATGACGTCTAGAAAGCTATGACAACCAGAAAGACATCACAATAACTATCATTATTTCTCCATGACATTCTTTAAGCAGGTTAAAGTTAGAAGAAATGGAATTATTAGATTGCATTTAGATTTAAGTCAAAGGCTGTATTATTATCGAGACTGGTTGGTACAATGGACTGGAATTATGGAATTATGTATGAGCAAGAGTTCCAAAATAAACCACTGCTAACATATTATACAATATACTGTATATTTAGAAAATGACTACAGTAAGCAAGACTTTTAAAAACTCTTGCTTATAACTTGTGAGAGCCAATGTGGTGTAGTGGGTTGAGCGTCAGAGTACAACTCTGGAGACCAGGGTTCGATTTCCAGGTTGTCCATGAAACCCACTGAGTGACCTTGCACAAATCCCACTCTCACAGCCTCAGTGGAAGACAATGGCAAACCAACTCTAATCAAATCTTGCCAAGAAAACCCCATGACAGGTTTCCATAAGTTGGAAATAACCTGAAGGACACAACAGGAACAATACAAACATACTGTATAACCCCAGTTACTCTGTTCTGTTACTCTCTGGAGCCACTAAGGGCCTACAGGTCTAATGTAGGGAATCCTGGCCACTTCTGTGCTCCACAATCTCCCCTAATAGCTACCTGGAGAGGGAGAGAGACCATGGAAATTCAGTGCTACATCATAACGAAAGGCTTTTCCCTCCTTCCTTTTCCAAAAAGCAAGGAGATGCTCTGCCCTGTCCCAACTGCAGGGCTCTATGATGTGATAGAGCACACCCTTAAACTTTCCCAGTCGAACAGGGACAGCCCCAAATAATCCTCTGCTGCCCTCATGCCTCAGGTGCATCATCATGAGGGTTGGCAAATCATCCCATTATCTCTCCCCAATCTCACCACCACCACCATCACAAGGAGGAGAGCTTTGCCGGCTTCTCTCTGGCCATGGTTAATACAAAACCTGATCAGCCACTGGACAGGTTCTCTAAACTTGAGAATGGCAAGCTTTGGGGAGCTACCAACATGATCCATCATTGCCCAATTGCTGTGTGTGGGTGGGTGGGTGTACGTTCATCTTGTCTATCAATCTGTGGTGACCTCCTGAATTTCATAGGATTTTCAAGAAATACCCAGAGGTGGTTTTGCCAGTTCCTTCCTCTGAAATACAGTATAGCCTACAGCACCTGGTGTTCATTGGCAGTCTCCCATCCAAGTACTAACCAGGGCTGACCCTGATTAGTTTCCAAGATCAGATGGATCTGGTGCCTTTAGGATACTTAGGCATATAGTAGAGAAATATTCAGTGCACAGTGTGGCTTTACTTTTCTCCTATTCCCTTCACACCGTCCCCTTCCTTTCTGGAGTGGCTGTTGGGTTCAGTGCACCACTTTGGGCAAACACCTTTGCACTCTTTCCTGCTTGGTCTTATGCTGCCACCAGCATCTTTGTTGTTGCTGTTTTTTGACTTATTGCAACCCTACAACAAATGGACCACAGAGCTTTCTTGGCAAGATTTACACAGCATCTTTACACAGAGTGAATTTTCAATATCCAAGGTCTTCTATCACCACTATCTATTACACTCTTTTCATATAATCCATAGGATAATGTACAATGAATAGGTGTGATTTATCAAAGGAAACAGAAACTGTTTTCTTATTTACAATCTCAGGATGCTATGTAATTGTATCTTGTCTCACCACCACCCTCAAGTATGCTTTTATTTTATTTATCTCTCCTCCCCCCAGAACTGGCACTCAAGTTGGCTTACAAAATAAAAACAAATAATATAGATAAAAGTATGCAAAACATTGTCATTAAAATGCAATTAAATCACCTATAATCAATACATTTTGAAAACAAGTTAAAATGTCATGGGTTCCCCGCCCCCCCCAAAAGATAACAGCACTGTCTTTAAAAGAGTCAGTTCCTCAAAGGCTGTCGGAATAAATAAATCTTTGCTGCTCTGAGTCTGTCTCAATCCACCTTAAATCCCAGACTTGAGGGGGAAAGCAGAGTATAAATAAAGTGACTGGTTGACTGACAGATTTGCCAGCTGATGGAAGCACACAGTGTGGGGCATCTTAGCCTCCCTAGAGAAAGAGTTCCAGAGCCTAGGAATAGCCATGGAGAAATCCCTCAGGTTCCCACCTGATATGCCAAGGAGGGTGGTGAGATGGAGAGAAGGGCCTCTCCCAAAGTGGTTCAGAGCAAGGCATGCTTAAATGGGAGAATGCAGTGCTTCGTATGGCTTGGACTTTAGCCATGTAGAGCATTATAGCCCATAGCCACAACTTTAAAGTGATGGCTTTCTAATATAAATACTTAATTATAGGTTATACTAGGCCTACAACTATACCTGCCACAGATCTATATACTAAATAACTATATCTTGGCAAATCTTGTCCTTCACACATATTCTTAATCCTATTAATCATAGATATGTTTTTCTCTTAACTCATAACATAGCCTCTCCTTGCACAAAACAGAGATAACCTATATAACCTATATTTCAACAGAAGTTACTTTTCTGCTGCTAATGAAATTGAAATTGTATTAGCTGACTTTACTGTCTTTTGTCCCTCGAATCCACATGGTCCAGAAGTGGGGTAGATGGCTTCTGCCTGCATTGAGATCCTTCCAGACCTTCAAAACTGACAACAGAAGTAACACCTGAGACAAAAGATAGGCCTGTGACTCTAACTAATCATACTTTCCTTCTTCTGTATTATTTTTATCAACTTTGCCTGATGAAGAAGCCTGTGCAGCTTTGAAAGCTTGCATGATGTATTTTGTACTTTATATGAAGGTATTGCCATTTTGTGGATTTTGTTGTATCAAGCCAAGTGCCGCCCATCCTGTATTTCTGCATTTGATTTTTCCTACCGAAATGTAGAATTTTACATGTATTGCAATAGGAAGTAGACTGTAGTCAACAAAAGCTCATGCTGCCAACTCCTTTTTTTCAGTTAGTCTCAAAGGTACTACAAGATCTCTTTGCATCATGCTTTAAGTAATTAGCAACCCCTCCCAAATTGGCATCAACTGCAACTTTAATTAGCATCCATTTTAATCCTTCATTCAATTAGCATCCATTTTCATCCTTCATTATTTATAAAGCCATTGAACAACACAGGGCCCAAGACAAGGCCCGGCAGCACCTCACTTGTCATTTTTAAGGATTTTTAAAAAAAGGATTGATGAGCATTCTTTGGGTTCAGCCCATCAGTCACTTACAAATCCATCTAAGAGTACTGTTGGATAACCCACAATTTACCACCTTGTCAGTAAGAACAATGAGGGCTCTAACTAAAAGATATACAGTACTTCTTCCACTGCATCCCCTAATCTGCCAAATCTGTTCAGAGGGATGAAGATTGAAGATGATGATGACAACGGTGATGATAATATATAAAGAGGGGTATGTTCATCTCATTTGAAGCACCTGCACTCTCTCCTAAATAGCCTCTGGGCCCTATTTAAATATAACCCTTCTCTCCAGCTATAGGCATGAAGTAGCATTCTGTTCTTTTGAGAACATCTGTCTTTCTTCAAGGACAGTCCACCTGAAGCACATTACAGTAGTCACTTTCAATGGTTACCCAAACATTATCAGTATAGCAAGTTTTTTCTTCTGTAGAAAGAGGCAGAGTGTATAAACTGGATTAAATAATTCCACCTGAGGCAGGCATTCAGGCAGCTCTGTGGGTAAAACAGTGGAGAGAATAAAAAGAGTCAGTCAATTCTGACTGAGAAAGATTGGAATTTAACACAACTTCAGCTCCCAAGAGAAATATCATTGCCAGTGAAAAGAATATTAAAGGGAGAGGGCAACCAAGTCACTAATATTCAGCTGCTCCTAAGGGGAAGACAGAACAACATATTGGGAGGCTGTTTGTCAGTATTCATGATTCCATCTAAATTTTATGCTGATAACTAAAAATCTTCTCCAGTTAAAAAACAGTTAGTATTCTAATGTTGAATAAGCAGCAGGCAGCAGCACTCATCTTCCTGAGCCATAGTGGATTTTGATCTGAACAAGTCAACAGACTGGTTGTTTTGTTTTGTTTTGTTTTGTTTTCTCAAAGGCACTTATTTCTTTCTGTATAAAATAGAACTATTATTTGCAATTCAAACAAAAATCCATCAGTGATACCTTTATTGGTCAACCAAAATGCACAATATACTAGTTGCAATCTTTGGAAGCTCCATGGGCTTCTTCATCAGGCAAGATGTTACCAACCAAACAGGAGAAAAACCATTGGAGATGTTAGTCAGATGCCTACATGTTGTTTCAGTCTTTAGTTAAGATGGTAGTATATGGTGGGGAGGATATCTTTTGCAGGCAGGCTCCTGCTCCTTCTGGCCCTGTGGCTATAGGGAGATTTCCAAAGTCCAGGAAATTTAAAGTCCATTTGCATCTCAACAGGGACCCCTCTTTTGCAATCCAATATGTCTCCATTCCAGTGAGGCCACAGGCCTCTTTGTGGCAGAGAACAATGGATTCCTCAAGTAGTCTCCCATGTTTTACCTTGGTTGAAGTTCCCAGCCCATAGGCAATTCTTTTTGGTTCCCCTGTTGCAGCTACAATGCAGTATCTCACAATACAGAAAACATGGAAATGTGTTGGCCATTTAGCAAATTCAAACAAAAAAATCCATCAGTGAAAAAGGTTTCACTGATGGATTTTTTTGTTTGAATTTGCTAAATGGCACATTTAGATTGGCATTATTTGCAATAACATTCACTCTACTCTTCAGCGTTGAACAACAACAATACGAAAAACCACCATCCCCTACCTATTTTGCCCCATATCTCACATGTGACTGCCTCTAATATGTCTATTATGTTTATGTCTCAGTACCCTATCAGCTATAATTTCTGTAATTCTGAAAAGGCTGTTAAAAATAAATTTCATCTCTTGTAAAGAAAGAAAGAAAGAAAGAAAGAAAGAAAGAAAGAAAGAAAGAAAGAAAGATGACAAGTAACTAAATACTCAAGCTGTGAACAGAGGCAAGCAAGCTTCATGAAGATACAGGAAAATAATAAACTTACATCTTTTACAGGGAAAAGAAATTATGGAATAGGAAGTCAACTTCTACCTAATCCAGCCAGAGATGGTCCAACCCACTTAAACTTTGATGATAGATTCTTAGCTATTGGCCACAAGGGAGGAGTGATTTGGCTACATTTGGTGGAAAACAGAGGGTAACACATTTAGATTTCATTAAGGGCTTCCCCTTCTATAGTGTGGACAAAAGAACATCACCATTCAGAGCCCTTTTCACCCAAATAACTGCTCTTATTGAACTTTCAACCTGGGAACCATGGCTGTAGTTACTTGTATAACAATAAACAAGGCACTTTCAGC